TTACACGACGCTCGCAACTGCATACGGTCATATGAGGGCGCTGGACACATTAAACTTTTTCAGTTGGTAAGACATTTTGAATTTAGCCCGGGTGGCGGCCGAAGCCTACTCTTATCGATTTCAGACCACCAAGGGATCTTTAATGTGCACAACTTGCACACGGGCCCTCCGAGATTTTTCACCCTTGTCCGAGAAGGCTAGGTGTAAATCTTTCCTACCAGAAGATCAGGGGTGTGGCTGAAGGAGTAGCAGTAGAAAGGCTGCAGATAGAATCTGGATCCCAGAGGAGGGGGCAAAAGAGGTGAGGGTGTGGGGGCTGAAAGAGGAGACGAAAGCAGACGACAGAACATTGCTAGAGAGCAGGAAAAGAGGTTAAGAAAGACGAAAGAAGACAATCTGAGAGAAGAAAAATTTTCGGTCGCTACCCGGATTTGAACCCTGGACCTTTGATTGAGAGGTCAACACCTTAACCTTTAGGCCACGAAAGCCCCCTTTTCAACCACAAAAAGACAATAATAACAGCAACACGAACGCCACTTTCAACAGTAATATTAACAACAACAGCAACAACAACACAATAACAAGAGCTACCACAGTAATAATAACGCCAACATCATCAACAACATCACCATCAACATCATCAATATCAACAACAAAACAACAACAACAAAAGCACAATATTAAGAGCAGTAACAACAACAACAACAACAACAACAAGAGCGGTAACAACAACAACAACAACCACAACAACAACAAAATAACAACAACAACAACACAATAACAAGAGCAGTAACAACAACAACAAAATCACAACAACAACAACAACACAATAACAAGAGCAGTAACAACAACAACAAAATAACAACAACAACAACACAATAACAAGAGCAGTAACAACCGCAACAACCACGACAACGCTTCTCCCATAATCACCACCACCACCAACAACAACAACAGCAAGAAAAAATCTTCCCAAGTTTCATTGGGAGAAAGTTTTGAACAACGCTCGCTGAATACAGTATAAAAAAAGAGTGATGACCACTTTTATTCCCAATGTACTCGGTGACAAAGACGAAGATAAAAATACAATATCCCTCCTGACGAGGCAAGGCTTACAGGCCCCATGCCGGTAGTACAGCTGAGATTACAGGACGCTGCTAGTAGTGATGATAATAATATTATGTACTTGATCTAGATAAATTAGATAATAATGGTGGGCAGTGTTTCGTTAGAGAGTAAACAAACGATGATACGGTGTTTTGTTTTTGTTTTTGTTTTTTGGGTGCATTAAAGCTCACATTGTCTTAACGTCATCTTCTCCACCATACCCCATTCTGTCTGTCTGTCTGTCTGCCTACCTGTCTGTTTGTATGTCTGTCTGCCTACCTACCTGTCTGTCTGTCTGTCTGTCTGCCTGTCTGTCTGCCTGTCTGTTTGTGTGTCTGTCTATTTGTCTGTCTGTCCATTTTTTTCTGAGACATACATTTTCAAATACACTGTCTGTCTGTCTGTCTGTTTGTCTGTCTGTCTGCCTGCCTGCCTGCCTGCCTG